GTCCCAAGCAAGAATGAACGACTCGATCATATATATATACAATGTGAAAAAAAAATACAATGTGGATCAATGGCACATCTTACCAATTCCAAAAGACCTTTTCTTCTATCATTATAAAAAGGAAACCCATAAAAGAAAGAAAGACAATGACATTGGACAGTACCTACCAAATACTTATTTTATATATTTTCACTTTTTCCGTCTAAATATTTTAAATATAATAGAAACCGAAATATAAGGCCCGATACACCGGAAACAAAACCCGGAAAGTTTACCGGAAAACAAAACACATTGGAATATAATGAAAATGTAAAAGAAAAAAACTACAAAAGTGGAACAACAAAAGATTGAGATCAACTTTTTCTCACCATCATCTATAATCACCCTTTGGACGTTTGGTCCGACCAACCAATCATGCAGAAGAAGAAAAAGTGCAAGAAGAACCGAACAAAGTCAACAAAATCCATACACATGTTTGCTGCTTTATATGGATGAACAAGGTAAAGGCTTAAACAAAAGACTCTCTGAATTTGACTGCTTCAACTTCTTTAGAGAGTCCCATGGAATCTGACTGTGTCCCCACTTTCTGCTAAAAAGTCGTCTCCTCTATCATATTCAGCACAACAAATTTACCTTTAGTGGGTTCCAACTTCTCTGAAACAGAGGACCAAGTATGTCGTTGAAGTCTTTTTGCTAGATGAAGTAGCGGTTGGAGACTTGGTAAGCAAACTGAGACAAGGCCAGATTTGAACAAATGGGATGTCGGTAAGACCTTTTTTTCAATCTTCTCTTGTTTCCTTTTGCAACTTCAAAACAATTCTTGATTGTTTCTTTTGAATCATCCGAATTTCTCACCTTTCTCCCTTGTTTCTACGATTTCAGACTCGAGAAGATATAGACACAACAACTGATACGCTGATTGGATCGTTGTTGGGGTCCATTTCCGAGGTAATCAGATCTTTGGGGTCTTTACAAACAGAAACAGAGACTTTCCTTGAATGTGCATGCTACTTTTATCGAGTTTCAGTGGTGTTAATGGAGATTCAGAAAGGAGAGAGCGCGGTCATATGTTCAAATGATGTTCTTGAGTCACTATCAGAGAGTATAGATGCAGCAAAGAATCTCATCGAGAAATCTCAAGAAAGCAACGGACCAGAATCAACGACTGATCTGACAAGCGTTGAGACAGGTCTTGAAGGCGTTGTGAAGCAGATGGGTGAAACTTTGCAGTCCATACCTGAATCAACATTCGCCGAGGAAGAATATATAGGAGTGGTTATCCAGTCTCTTTCAAATGAGATGCAGAATGCTAACATTGGAGATGGTAGTAAAAATGAGATCATACAGAATGTGCAGCAGGAGATTTCTGCAAGGCCTCCACCAGAATTGGTGTCAGAGCAAATAGAGACAGATCTCTATCCCACTGATCCTGAATTTTCCTATGAAAGTTACATAAGTGAATCACAATCACAAATGAGCGAAATACCGGATATCCCAAGCCAGAGCACAAATGTTAGCAGCCAGAGAAAGTATGCAAGTCTGAGCGAATCCTTGTCAATGTTACCACAGGTGACACAGTTCATGGAGCCTCCATACCAAGCTTTCATCTGTCCATTGACCAAAGAAATAATGGAAGATCCAGTAACCACAGAAACAGGAGTCACCTGTGAAAGAAAAGCAGTAACAGAGTGGTTTGACAGATTCGAGAACCCCGATGAGATTAGCTGTCCAATCACGGGGGAAAATATGACCACTAGATTGAGTGCTAATGTTGTCTTGAAAACCATCATTCAGGAATGGATAGTACGAAACGAGGCAGCAAGAATCAAGGTGGCTCATGCAGCTTTATCATTGGGCGGTTCAGAAAGTATGGTTATCGAAGCATTAAGAGATCTGCAAATGACTTGTGAAGGGAAAGAGTACAATAAGGTACAAGTCCGTGAAGCTGGGATCATTCCGTTGCTCGACAGATACCTGACATACAGAAGTAAAGATGTGAGGTACGAACTATTGCAGCTGTTGAGGATGCTGGCAGAAGAAGACACTGACGATGGCAAGGTTGGACCTCTTTCATTTACATGATATGCGCTGGTCTATTTCTTTGTCCATCGAATTTAAAGACGTTCAGGAAACGAATTACTTTAACTTGCACCTTCGAGTCTGTGATTCACTATTCATTTCATATTTTTATAGTACAGAAGAGCAGTGCTTGTTTCAATAGACTTTTATATTTCAAAATTGTCTTACAGGAAATGATTGTGAAGACGATAACTATGTCATGCGTCATCAAACTTTTGGGAAGCAGTCACCAGTCAGTAAGACATGCAGCACTAGTCTTACTGCGCGAGCTTTCAAAATCTCAGCATGCATGTGAGAAGATTGGAACTGCTACAGGGGCAATATTGATGTTAGTTACCTTAAAGTATAACAACAAGTTTGATGCCTTTGCTTCCGAAACAGCAGACCAAATCTTAAGAGATCTAGAGAAGTTCCCTGATAACATCAAACAAATGGCAGAGAGTGGACTATTGGAACCTCTTCTCACCCATATGGCAGAAGGTAATTCTTTACTGCTTTTATCTCCAAGGTTTATGAAGCATATACAACCAGAAAAGCATAACCTGGAGTGAAACGATAAACGTTGTTGATTAATATCGGTTTACTTTGGAATTATATATTTGGAGTTCATCTAATATAAGGAATATGGCAGGGAGTGAAGAGACGCAGGTGGTAATGGCTTCATACCTTGTTGAAATTGATGTTGGTCATGAGAAAAAACCTTACGTAGCTGAGAAGGCTTGCCCTGCACTCGTCGGGCTGGTGCAAAGTGAAAATATTGAGGCTCGAAGAGCCGCCTTCAAAGCTCTTGCTCATATCTCATTGTATCATCCCAACAACCAGATACTTGTAGAAGTTGGCATCATCAAGATCATGGTCGAAGAGATGTTCACCAAGCGAAATTTCAGTGATCTGATGAACTCCAGGAATGAAGCTGCTACAATACTTGCAAACATACTTGAATCTGGGCTAGAACATGAGACCTTCGAGGTGAATACCCATGGCCACACTTTAGGCTCGGATTACTTTGTATACAACATCATCAACATGCTCAAGAACTCAAGCCCAGATGATCTGAACATTGATTTGATCAGGATTCTCCTATCCTTGTCCAAATCACCCAAAGCAATGGCAACTATCGTCTCAGTGATTAAAGAAACCGACGCAAGCTTTGCCATGATAGAACTCATCAACAATCCTCATGAGGAATTGGGGGTTGGAGCATTAAAGCTTCTCATAGCACTTACACCCTACATCGGTCACACGCTATCAGAGAGACTATGTAAAACTAGAGGCCAGCCAGAAAATCTTATCCAATGCCCGGCAGAAGCAAATCAGATAACAGAGAAACATGCTGTTTCAGCTAAGTTACTTGCTAATTTGCCTCATCAAAATCTGACTCTTAACCTAGCACTGGTCAACGAGAGCATAGTGTCTGAAATTCTGCATGCAATCCATCTGATTCAAAGAAGTGGAACACGAACAAGCAGGTATGCAACTGATTTTCTGGAAGGTCTCGTTGGCATCTTAGTGAGATTCACAACTACACTGTATGAGCCCCAAATGATGTACCTAGCCAGAAACCATGACTTGACATCAGTGTTTGTTGATTTATTGATGAAAACATCAAGTGACGAAGTTCAAAGGTTATCAGCAACTGGACTAGAAAATCTATCCTCCATAACTATGACTTTATCGAGGCCACCGCAAACTAGGAGCACGAAATTCATGGGATCACTGAGTATGCCTAGGTCCTTCTCCCTCCGTTCATCCAAAAAGAAGCCAATAGAGATCTGCGCAATCCACATGGGGGTATGTTCTGCAAAAAACACATTTTGCTTAGTTGAAGCAAATGCAGTCACACAACTTCTAGTATGTTTGGAGAGTGATAAAGTGGAGGTGGTGGAGTCAGCATTATCTGCTATATGCACGCTGTTGGATGACAAGGTTGATGTGGAGAAGAGTTTAAGCATGCTGAGTGGAATGAATGCAGTACAACTAATTCTAAATGCAGTCAAAGAACACAAGAAAGAGTCTCTATTGCAGAAAGCATTTTGGATGATCGACAAGTTCTTAATTAGAGGCGGAGAAAAGTATGCATTCGGCATTTCACAAGACAGGATGCTGTCAGGTATGTTGGTTAGTGCCTTCCATCGTGGAGATGGTAACACAAGGCAGATGGCAGAAAATATTTTGAGGCGTTTGGACAAGATGCCAAGTTTCTCTACCTATATCACATAAAACAATGGGATGTGAAAACCCCTAAGGCCTTGACTATTATGAACTATTGCTCTCGTTGTACTCACTGTATATAAAATTTTCAGTTTGAATGTGATTTTACTTTATGGTCACAAAAAAAAATAGTGGTTCAGATAGAGAGTTTTAGTTTAATATCATCCTGACAGCCAGATTGTAATTTTATTCATGTATACCCAGATTAATTCCATTACAAAAGGGTCTTACCTCTGTTTCTTTTCCCTTTGTAAACCCTCGACCCGCGTTTGAGTTTGAGTTTCTCATTCTGCCTCGGACCCTGCATACGAATCATCATAGCCCTTAGACCAGAGTCTCCGACGAAAGTGAGAAGAGGGCCAAAGTCTGCCCAAATAAAGTGATAGAAACATATTATAATCTGGCAAGCATCTTAGGAAATCCAGTTTCCTTATCATCTGCATCCAACTTTAAATAAAAAACACTTTAAACAAACCCTACATCTTCATCTAAGGTTTCCTTGGCAACCAAAAAGAATCCTTGTATCACCATGATTAGGAGATCTACAAGAACTTCCTTGGCAGCCAAAACGAGTTATTGTATCGCCATGATTAGGAGATCCACAAGAACTTTCTCGTCAAAGAATTTACTCAATGTATCTTAATGGAACCTGCACCATAATAAAGAACATACCTCAGTTTCCTTCTTCTGTTAAAAAGGGAGTGAAATCGAGTAAAGAAAAACACATCTGTAATTGTTCTGTATAATAAATATAATAAAATGATATGAGTGGCACATTATTACAGAGAACTCATCCTTAAAATCCCGGCATTAACATATAGCCTAATAAGAGGGTTAGTTCTCTCCATAAAATCTAAGACAACTAAAAAGGCAGAAGAATGTTTACTGGCAACATGGTGGTGAAACAATGGGTCGGCATGGTGGATCATCTATAGACATAGTCATATAAATCTCACTAGACAGCATATAATATTGGTATGCCTTCAATTAGGAAATAATGAGAAAGCCTTTCAAGAAGGAAACTATCCAGAAACAATGGAAAGTATTTAATTATATGTCAGATGAAGTCTGATCACCAAAGAACATCACGTTCTGTAATATTAACATTTCTCATCGAGTAGTAATGGGTTTTTAGTCTTCTAACTGTGTTAAAAATGAGAAACAACCCAAGATATTTGCATATTCTGTTCCATCTACATTATACATCTCCCACCAATCTAGTAATTTGACGATACAAACTCTAATCAGTTAGTAAAAAGATATCTTATCTAAGTTAAAACCACCCAGCAGTACATATATGTTATATCTAAGGTTCCCAAAGAACTGGTGTTTGTTGTTCTATACACACCTCTATAGCACACCATTTTCCAGTTAGCGTATTAAGACAAACATATATGAATGGACCTTACTGAAATTTCTTGGCCATTTCAACCAATTGGAGTTCAAAGTAACTGATCAGGTTCAGAATCCTACTGACAAAAATTGGCAAGCATAAATAAAATTAGATGGCTAGGATCAGATGCCGAGAACATATTGGAAGCAAAGTGAGATAAGTCTTACTTGTTCCTCTTCTTTATATAAAAGTCTTCAGGATAGGTGATGGAGCGGCTCCTTGTAGTAACCTGAGTTGCAGTACAACTGAATCTTCCCTACTCTATTTTGATATTGTCAGACTCGCAATGGAGAATCATTATGCTTGCTCTATGTGTCAAAAAATTCCAAGATGAAACCTACCAGAAGTCTCCACATGAGCAAGTTCCATCTTTGAAACGGTGAAACCTAACAGCATCTCTAACAATGATCTCTCTACCAGTGACGCTGGAGATATGTTTAGTGGCAATGTGGCAATCCACACACACTCTAAGATTTTTTCCTACTCTAATAGGTAGGCCTGAGGGTACAAATATCAATCCAAAAGCAATTGCAAGTCTTTCACTGTGACAGTTAAGCATCTTTATTTTAACTGCTTCCTCGACATCATGATGAACAAAACTAGTATCCGGCTTGTAACCATTATCTATGATTTTTTTGTTCAATTCCTCAAGCTTAGCGTATATCTGATCTAAATATGGACTTGACTCGTCATCCGCTAAAAAACTGTGCAATTTTCCTTTCCATTTGATCCAGCTCTGTCCTGGTTCTTTTTTCACTTGTTTCTCCTGCATTCCTCGCTTTAACTGAGCCACACATTCCCATTCCCCTTTTGAAGCATATATGCTTGATAGTAAGGTATAGCCAGCAGGGTGATGGGGATCTAGTTTTATAAGTGATTCAGCCGCCCATTTACCCATTTCCAAATTACCTTTATTTCTACACGCGCTGAGTAAAGTGGTCCAACCAATAGCATCTGGGGGAAATGGCATCCCATTTATGAAACTCCTGGCTTCCTCTAACCTTCCAGATCGACTGAGGAGATCGATCATGCAAGAATAATGTCCATTACTCGGTACTATTCCATATTCATTAATCATTAACTCAAAATATCTCTGTCCTTTCTCCACTAATCCTGCCCTACTACAAGCTGAAATAACACCGGTAAAAGTCACTCCATCAGGTTTTAGTCCATGTTGTACCATTTTGTCAAACAAACAAATAGCCTCGATGGCCCTCCCAAATTGGGCATACGCGGAAACCATTGCAGTCCAAGAGATTTCATCCTTGACATTCATCTCGTTGAACAGCCTAGTAGAATCATTGATATTTCCACATTTTCCATACAAAGTCACCAATGAATTTGAAACAGTGATATAATGTATTAGGCCAGAAATTATAGCTTTTCCATGAAACTGGGAGCCCTCTTCTAAGCTAGCTATGTTGGCACACGCACTGATCGCGTGTCCCAGAGTATAATGATCTGGGTCAATTCCACTTCTTTGCATGTCAAGGAAAACTTTAACAGCCTCTTCAGCACGCCCGGTCTGGCCATAACCCACAACCATTGCTGTCCAAGACACGACATTCTTCTGCTTCGTTCTATCAAAAACAGTCTTTGCATAGTGTGTACACTTACACTTGCAATACATGTCAACGAGAGCACTGTCTACGTATATGTTATCCTGAAGATTGGTCCTGATTATAGAAGCATGAATTTGTTTCCCTTCGTTTATGGCTCCTAATTCCCCACAAGCAGGTAGTACACTTCCGAATGTATACTGATCCATCGTCAAGCCTTCCATTTTCATCTCCCTGAAAAGTTGAATAGCCTCCTTTTCCAGTCCATTTCGAGCAAGTCCTTGTATCATCGCTGTCCAAGAAACCGAATCTTTCTCCATTCCTCGAAACAAGTGCTGTGCATCTTTGATCATTCCACATGCTAGAAGTCCCCCCATCAGCGAATTGCACATAACCGTATTTCTGTACTCTAGACCGAAAAAAACTTTCTTTGCCTCAGAGATGAGACCAAGTTTTGCATACATATCCAACAGTGGACTCCGTACTTTAAGATAAGACTCAAACCCTCGTTTGATAATATGCCCATGAATCTGCCTACCAAGACTAACATGTCCATTGGTGGAAGAAAGTTGCAGCATTGTCATCAAAGTAACCCTAGTCAAATTAACAGAACCATCTTTCATCATCGTATTAAAAGCCTTGACGGCTGCACCCACCAAACCACTCAATGAGTAGCCGGAAATAAGCAAGTTCCAAGTGACATCATCACGACTTGGAAGCCTCTTAAAGATGCGCTCCATCTCCGAGAGATGCCCAGATTTTGAATAAGCCATGAGAAGATTGTTCCAGGAGAAGAGGTTTGGTTGGGGAGTTCCGTCGAACACTTTGCGAGCATAAGTGGAGTTTCTGATTGAAGCGTATCCATGGACGATGTTGTTAAGCAAAAACGTATCTGGATAGGGGAGGGTTTTGATAATGTGGCCGTGGATCGTCTTCAAGAGGCGGCTCTGGTTTCTACCTCCGGAGCCAATGCATTGCTTTATCTGAGCAGCGTAGTAGTTCGACGCCATAGTCTTCCTCACTTTATTTGGTGTGTTTTAAAATTTCAAGAAATAAAACCAACTAAAAAAAACTTTCTCATGTAAGTAAATCTCGTCACATTACTTTTATCTAGTGTAAGAACATAAAATAAAACTTGATTAGAAGGAAGAAAGAACAAAAAAAAGCCATATTTACGTTAATACATGTCAATTTTTCCTTTCGAAAAAATTCTAATTTTTGTTACAAACCTTAGTTTTTAATCAATTTAAGAAAAGATCATTAATTTACGAAAAACTAATTTAATAATGTTTTGTGATAATTTAGCATAATAAATTTTAATCATTACAAATATGTTTTTGCAAGAATAAATTTGTTCATTTCAAATACTTTTGTTTTGCAGTTTTGTTTTTCTGCTACTGTGACATTACCGCTATTGTATTTTCTCTGTATTTTTTTAATGTTTATTTCACAAATTTTAGAAACGAGTTCCATTTTTCTACCTTAACACCAGAAAAGACTTGTCAATATAGCCGTATTAGGCATCTTCGGTCGTGACAAGAAATACTGAAATACAAATATACTCAGAAAGAAAGTAGACTTAATGGAACTATTTTGCATTGCTTGTTTTCACTTTTCACAATTTTTACTCATTCTTCTTCTTAATCTTTAAATGCTAAGTACTAGTAGTGTCGTATTCATTAATAGTAACATCATTATAATATTATAGTACATACATAGTAAATTAAAAGAAAAAAAAGATTACAAGAATTTAATATTCTATCTAACAGGAAGAAATCTTAAGGCTCAACCTTCATGTTTGCAGTTGGAAGAGATGCTGTAATAAAAGACAAAACAAAAACACAAGTTTTAGCAAAACAAATTTTACTTTCCTGGTGAAAAAAGTAAAAAGGTTTCAGTTTTTTTCACCTGTAGCTGCTGCTTGAGGATCAGGTGGGACATCACCAGCACCATAGTTAATGTGGATCACATTTTGCAGATCACCTTCCCATCCATTTGTTTCCTATTTACAAACAATCACCAAACAAAAATCAGATTACGAGCTCAGATTTGTTCATTTTTTTCAGGCCAGTTATACGTACCTGTCGCTTGAATCCACCATTCATGGGAGACAATGGAGAGCTAATGGTCCTTCCGATGTTGGAAAGGGTCTGCTGCATAAATCCATGTGGTAGAGGAGGATAAACCATTGGCATATTTTGGGGGAATGGTGTTGCAGAAGACGAACCAGCTCGTAGTTGAAGTGCCTGCACATAGAATTTCGATTTATAAGAATCTTATGATGGCTTAAAATGATAAGGAGAATTTAGTTAAAAGCCTTCCAAAAATCTCTTACATCTTTTGCGAGAAGACTTTCAAGGTTAAAGTCCATTTGTGGGTTCACCGTTGCAAGTTTCATCGATAAAAACTGTTTAAGACAAAAAGAGAAGAAGAGGGAGAAATCAAATTAAGATTTACAAGAAGCAAACAAAAAGAGCACAAATCTGAGAATAACGAAATGTCATACCTCGACTTGACGTTGTAGTGACTGCACATAGTTTATGATTTCGTCAAGCATAACTGCCTTCCCAGTCACCTGCACACAAACACACACAGATCCAATTTTTCCATTAGCTTTGTTTACCCTCTTACATATTACTATCCATCATCACCTAAAAGACACTACCTTGTTGCAACCTGGTACAAGATCTTGAAGAAACTTCATTCTTTCACTAATTTTTTCTCTCCTTACCTATAATCACAAAGTTAATTAGATGAACAATTGAACATACCAGAAGGGATTGCTTATATGCAACTTCCAAGATGGTTTTAGAAACTGTACTCTTTCTGCAAGACTGTGGCTATTTGTTGCCTGGCCTCTTCGTGCCCGCACATGAATATATCCATCTTTTGGAGGATCAGACGTTTGTTTGCCCTGTTGTTTCCCACTGTTTGTTTTATTGCCAGTTGAATTTGGACTTTGATCATTGTTCCGCTTTTTATCACCATTGTTGTCTGGTTCTTCCTCCGATTGTTGAGATCTGTGTGATTGATCTGCTTCGGAAATCTACAAACAGAAATCCTACGGTTACAAACGAAATACAAAAAGGCCAAGAGAACAAAAACAGAAGAGTAACTTCAAATCTTCCACCTGTCCATTTCTTTTCCTCTTCCTTGAGTCAAAGCCTTTGGAAGAAGTTCCCCTGCCTTTCTGACCATTACCACCACTAGACTGAGTATCCTCGGATACATTTCCCGATCCAGGAACACTCGATTTACCTTGTTCACTAGATCTAACATGTGGGTCTTTCAATGTTGTAGATGCATCATTGTGAGCTTCACCAACATTTAGTTCATTACTCGGACACTGCCCTTGCATTGTTCCACCACCTTGAAGAAACAAACCCATCGACTCAGGATTCACAAGTGGTTGATTCACCATATCACTAAAATTGCCACCGCTAAAGAGCGAAAACCTCGCAGCACGCTCTATAAACCCCGAATCCGCCGGGAACTGAGCCATACTCGGAGGCAGGAAGCTACTCGCATTTGGCAAGAAAAGACCGTTGCCTTTAGGAGGCAACAGATTAGGCAGATTCCAACCCATTTCTAGAGATCTATCCATATTACCCCTAAACGAAGATGAGGACGCATTACCGCCATTAAAACCGCCATAACCAACAGCCTGAACATTAGTTGGATCATACCAAAGAGTTTGCCCAAAAGAATCCATCATTTGAGATGGAGAACAAGACGAAGGACAAGGTGAAATCAGATTCTGTGGAGGATATGAATCAATCGACGCAGAGACCGGATTAGAACCTCCAGAGATTCGCCAATCTACAGGCGGATTATTAACCGAATCATAGTTCACAGTACTATCAACACCATTCCTCTTATCTCCAGGAAACTCATCTTTCTCACTTATATCCATCTCTTCTAAACTCAATCAACACCGCAGAAAACAGCACTAATCAAAACCTCAAAGATCAAAAACACTACAAACCCAACAGACTTCCCACATAAAAACATCCACTTTCGAACTTAGAGATGCAGTGAAAGCACAATCCACCTGGAAAGAATCAATCAATTTCAATGAATCAATAGATTTGATAGTACAAAAGAACACATATTCCTTAAAGACGAATCAAGTACTGAGAAATCAAAGTGAAGAAAGCTCAGAAGAAAAGGGAGAACAATCAGTCAACGGAACAGAGGAAAAAGGATCATGATTTTTTTATCCGTACTAAACCCAAAAAAAACAGCTTTCAAAAAAAAAAAAACCCTAGACCAGATTTAAGAAGATAATGGAGACAGGAGAAAGATACCCATTAACAGAATCTGTGCCACTTTTCTTCTGTACAAACTTGAAATCTTTTTCCTCAATTTCTCAACAAGAGCTTTATTGAAATGGGTCCTTGAGTCAGATAAATAAACCCC